AGTGGGACGATAGGAAAGGGGTGGGAGAGAAGGGAAAAGCGTTGGGCTGAGGCCCCCAAAACTGAGTGTGAGGGGGGTTGGGACCCCAAAGTTATTGGGAGGGGGGTGGGAGACCCCAGCTGAGTGCAGAGGGGGTCTGGAGGCTGGGGAGACCATAGGAAGGGGGTGGGAGAGGGGCAGAAAAGGGGGGATGGGACAGCAGGAAGAGGAGTCCCATGGGGGTCCCTTGGTGTCCCCATCACTTGAGCCCTGGAGCAGTTCCCTGGGGCTCTGGAGGGGTTGGATCTGCGCTGGGGGGGGTCCCCAACACCCTCTGTCCATCCCTGAGGGGCTGATGGGGGGGCTCCCCTCCACCCAACAGCCGGTGCTGCAGTGGCCACGGGGGAAAAGGTGGGAGAAGGGGGGTCTGGGGTGGCCCCAGGTGAGCTCCCGCCCTGCTGTGGGGTATCACAGCCAGCACGGCTTCCCCAGAGGATCCCACCTGGAAAACCCTCCCTGTGTCCCCGCAGGCGACGCCCCGTATTGCACCCCCGAGCAGTACAAGGAGTGCGCGGACCCGGCCTTGGGTGAGGCTCGGGAGGGAGGGAGGGAGGGAGGGAGGGAGGGAAGGAGGGAGGGAGGGAGGGAAGGAGGGAGGGAGCTGCGGGCCTTGGGTCTCTCCAGGCCTCCGAACTCCTCTCCCCCTGCCCAGATTTCCTGGTGGAGAAGGACAACGAGTACTGCCTCTGCGACATGCCCTGCAACATGACCCGCTACGGCAAAGAGCTCTCCATGGTCAAGATCCCCAGCAAGGCCTCGGCCAAGTACCTGGCCAAGAAGTACAACAAGTCGGAGCAGTACATCGGGTAACGTGGCCGTGGCAGGGGGGTGGCACCCGCTGCCGCCCCCTCCCAGACCCTCAGCCCGGTGCCACTTTGTGTCCTGCGCAGGGAGAACATCCTGGTGCTGGACATCTTCTTCGAGGCCCTCAACTACGAGACCATCGAGCAGAAGAAGGCCTACGAGGTGGCCGGTCTGCTGGGTGAGCGATGGGGGGGGGGCTGGCCAGTGCCCTCCCCGGCGAGGTGGCCCCGCGTCGGCCCCGTCGCCCCGGCCCCGTTCCCGAGGCGCCGGGATGTGCCCGCGGCGGGGACGAGGAGCAGGACACGAGTCCTGTGCCCTTTCCCCGCTCCCTCTGGCCGCCCTGACGGCTTCCCCTGTCCCCTGCAGGTGACATCGGAGGGCAGATGGGGCTGTTCATCGGGGCCAGCATCCTCACGGTGCTCGAGCTCTTCGACTACGCCTACGAGGTGAGCGTCCCCCTCGACCCACCCCACCCAGGGGTTACCCCAGAGCATCCTGGGGGGAGTGGGGAAGGGCTCAGCCCCCGAGCCTCCTCAACGGGGCTGAAAAACGTGGCCCTGGCAGGTGATAAAGCACCGGCTGTGCCGGAGGGGCAAGTGCCGCAAGAACCACAAGAGGAACAACACGGACAAGGGCGTCGCGCTGAGCATGGACGACGTGAAGCGCCACGTGAGTGCTGGGGACACCCTGGGGCTGCTGGGGACACCTGGGGGGCTGCTGGGGACACCTTGGGGGCTGCTGGGGACACTCCAGGGGCTGCTGGGGACACCCCAGGGGCTGCTGGGGACACCTTGGGGGCTGCTGGGGACACTCCAGGGCTGCTGGGGACACTCCAGGGGCTGACCTGGGGACACTCTGGGCTCTGTGACAACCCAGGGCGGGCTGGGGGACAGCCCCTGGGGCTTAGGGACACACAAGGGCTGCTGGGGACACCCCAGGGCTGCTGGGGACACCTTGGGGGCTGCTGGGGACACCTGGGGGCTGCTGGGGACACCCCGGGGGCTGCTGGGGACACTCCAGGGGCTGCTGGGGACACCTTGGGGGCTGCTGGGGACACTCCAGGGGCTGCTGGGGACACCTTGGGGGCTGCTGGGCACACTCCAGGGGCTGCTGGGGACACCCTGGGGGGCTGCTGGGGACACCCTGGGGCTGCTGGGGACACTCCAGGGCTGCTGGGGACACCCTGGGGGCTGCTGGGGACACCCTGGGGGCTGCTGGGAAAGCTCCAGGCTGCTGGGACACCCCAGGGGAGCTGGGCCCCCTACTGGCAGCTCAGGGGCTCTGCTGAGGGAGCCCTCTGGGTTGGGGTCACGGTTTTGGGCTGCCGGGGGGAGCACCTTGCGGTGGGTGGGGTCAATGTTTTGAGGCTGCCTGGGCGGAGCCCCTGAGTGTGGGGTCACTGTTTTGGGGCTGCCCAGGAGGTACTGTGGGGTATGAGGTCACTGTTTTGGGGCTGCCTGGGAAGAGCTGTGGGGTCACTGTTTTGGGGCTGCCTGGGGGGAGCTGTGGGGTCAATGTTTTGGGGCTGCCCAGGAGGTGCCACGGGACGGGAGGTCCCAGCTCGAGGAGCACTTGGGGAAGGAGCAGAGGGACCAGTCCCACGTGCTGTGGGGAGCCAGGGCTCGCTCTCTGCGGGGATTTGGGCGAAACCAGTGACCCCAACACCCCGTCACCCCCCAGAACCCCTGCGAGAGCATACGGGGGCACCCGGCAGGGATGACGTACGCAGCCAACATCCTACCTCACCACCCGGCCCGGGGCACCTTCGAGGACTTCACCTGCTAACCCCGACGTCACTGGATGTACAACCTGAGCTACCAAAGCCCTGCGCGCGGAGCTGCCCCTTCCCCCGGAGGGGGGACGCGGCCCCGGGGGCCCTCGCTCCCTCCTCGGCACCGAGGGACACACGGACACGAGCGACGGCCTCGCCCGGCGGGGCAGGGCAGGGCAGCCGGGTCGGGGCGATGCCCCCGGGTCGGGACGATGCCCCCGGGTCGGGACGATGCCCCCGGGTCGGGGTGATGCCCCCGGGTCGGGACGATGCCCCCGGGTCGGGGCGATGCCCCCGGGTCGGGACGATGCCCCCGGGTCGGGGCGATGCCCCCGTTTCGGTCGGATGCCCCCGGGTCGGACATGCCCCGCAGGTCGGGGCGATGCCCCCCGGGTTCGGACGATGCCCCCGGGTCGGGGCGATGCCCCCGCGCCCGCCCCTCGCTCAGAGACTCGAGGGACGACACAACACACGCACAGGGGGCCGGGGCAGGGCCAGCCCCGGCTCCCCCACCCCAACCCCGGCTCCCCTCGGCCTTTTTAACTCCGAACCCAGAAGCCAAGAAGAAGAAGAAGAAGAAGAGGAAGGAGAAGAAGAAGAAGGTGGTGTCCATCCACAGCCCTGTCTGTCTGTCCGCCAGCGTCTCCATGCCCATCCCGCTCCCAATGCCTCGGACCCCCCGTGCCCGGGGGGGGGATTTTTGTGGAGGGGTCCCAGGGCTTGGCTGGGGGTCCCCGGGGAGCCTCAGTGTCCCCCAGGACCGGTGCCCACCCTGGCCTGGGCGCTCCACGTGCACCAGGACGCAGCAGCCGCCCCTCTCCAGAACATCTTCCTTGGCATCAGCCCCTGGGGGCACCGGGGGGGGGACTCGGGAGGTGCCCCCGTGGCTCTGTGGACCCCCAGCCCGGGCGATGCTGAGCCCACCTTGCCCCTTTTCCCGGGTTCTGGGCAGTGCCAGCCCTGCCCAGCCAGCCCTCCCCGCTCCCAGGGCACCCCGGGCAGCCCCCCAGAACCAGCCCTGCCCGGGGAGAAAGGGGGAAGGGACCCCCCTTTAGAGGGACCCCCCCTTGGTACCGGGTGGGCACCGGAGCCCCAACACCACCAGGGCTCACAGGCTGGTCCCGGGAGCAGCTCCCACCCCCCGAGCCCCCCCAAACTCAGCTGCCCAGGGGATTTTTGGGGGGTCTGTGGCCTCGCTGCCCCTCCCTGGGGGGGGGTCTGGGGGTCTCTGCCCCCCCTCTGACCCCTCCAGCGCCCTCACTTCGCTCTGGGGTCTGCACTTGGCCCCCCCAACCCCACAGACCAGGTCAGAGCCCCCCCCCCGGGCCCAAGTGCTTCTTAAATCTTTTAAGAGCTTTTGCAATAAGTCTGTTCAGTAATTTTTTGTTTCCGAGCTGCAGCTTTGGGGGTTTTTTTATTCCTGCCATTTTTTTTTAATTCCTGCTATTTTTTTTTTAATTCCTGCCATTTTTTTTAAAATCCTACCATTTTTTTAATTCCTGTCATTTTTTTTTAATCCTGCCATTTTTTTTATTCCTGCCATTTTTTTAATTCCTGCCATTTTTTTTAATTCCCACCATTTTTTTAAATTCCTACCATTTTTTTTAATTCCCGCCATTTTTTTTAATTCCTACCATTTTTTTTTTTTATTCCTGCCATTTATTTTTTTTTTATTCCTATTATTTGCTTCCTGACCAAAATTAGGAACTGGGCGTGGTGGGAGGGAAGGTCAGCCACGGGTCGGCCACATCCATAAATTTTCTTATGGATTTTTTTCCCTGGCGTTTCGTTTATTTATTTATTTGCTTCCTTCCTCTTTTCTAACCCCCCTTCGAGCTGTTAAAGACGGGGCTGGGATCTGACCTCGAGAAGACACTCTTTTGTTATTACGCCATCCGCATTTTATATTTCTTATATATAATATATATGACTATATATATATGTGTACATATATATATATATACCTCTATATGCATCATGCCACTGTAGATACCCATCCAAGTAGCGTTTAGGCCTTGTTCTTGTGCCATTTTATTTTTTATTTTATTTTATTTTCTTTTTTTTATTTCTGTTACTGATCTCTGAATGCCTTCAAAAGTGTATAAAAAAGTGTGGAATTCTCTCCGGTATCTGTACTATGTACACACATTTTCATAGGAAGCACAATAAGATGACAGATGCATTGTACATCAATACCTGCTACTCTTAACGACGATATAAAGAATGATATAAATGATATAAACCCCCCACCAGGCCGAGCCTTTCTCTTGCTGAGCTGCTGGAAGTGCTCCCTGAGGAGCTGAGGGGGGACGGGCTCGTTCCAGGATGCTCCTGGAAATCCTGGAGCTGAGAGAAAGGAAGGATGTGGGCACCTCAGTGAGCTCCAACCTCTCTGCCAGGACCTGTCCTGCCCTGGGAACTCATCCCGAGGGATGTGGGCACCTCAGTGAGCTCCAGCCCCTCTTCCAGGACCTGTCCTGCCCTGGGAACTCATCCCGAGGGATGTGGGCACCTCAGTGAGCCCCCCAGGACCTGTCCTGCCATGGGAACTCATCCCAAGGGATGTGGGCACCTCAGGGAGCTCCAACCTCTCTGCCAGGACCTGTCCTGCCATGGGAACTCATCCCAAGGGATGTGGGCACCTCAGGGAGCTCCAACCTCTCTGCCAGGACCTGTCCTGCCATGGGAACTCATCCTGAGGGATGTGGGCACCCCAGTGAGCTCCCCAGGACCTGTCCTGCCCTGGGAACTCATCCCGAGGGATGTGGGCACCTCAGTGAGCTCCCCAGGACCTGTCCTGCCCGGGGAACTCATCCCGAGGGACACTGGAGGGTGGGAGCTGCCGTGTCCTCCAGCACAGGCAGGTGAATTAACACACACACAGAGCTGTTAATCTCTGACAGCTCCAACCCCTCCATGGTTTGGGATCCAGCAGGAGCCACCAGCTGGAATTTCACCCGGGTTAACCCCGGCAGTGGCACCAGGAGCACAACCCCTACAGGAACACACCCAGTGTCCTAAAAACCCTCAGCTTCAAAGAGCAGAAGGACCAGACCAAAGCCTGGGCATCCACAAAGGCCCTGAGGACCCCGGGGAGACGGAATAACAGGGAGTGGGAGTGGGCAGGGAACACTGAAATGCCAACCCCTCCCAGTCCCTTGGCTCTGCTCCTGTCCCCGTGGCTCCTGGAAATGGCAGAGGAGCGTTTTGCATTTCAAGCAGAACAAAGCTCTGATCCCTCCTGGAGCCGCAAAGGCCACGGGGAGGGATTCGAATGGGAGCAGGAGAGGAGAAGCCCAGGAGGGTGTTAATGAACCCCATGAACTGCAGCCAGAGCTGCCCCTGCCCGCTCCCTGCTCAGCACATTCCCTGTCCAACCTCCCCTTGGACACTCCCAGGGATCCAGGGGCAGCCACAGCTTCTCTGGGAAACTGTGCCAGGGCCTCCCCACCCTCCCAGGGGGGAATTTCTTCCCAATATCCCACCCAACCCTGCCCTCTGGCAGTGGGAAGCCATTCCCCCTTGTCCTGGCACTCCAGGCCCTTGGAAATAGTCTCTCTCCCCCTTTCCTGCAGGGTCCCTTCAGGTCCTGGAAGGCCACAGTGAGGTGACCCCAAAGCCTTCCCTTCTCCAGGCCGAACAATCCCAATCTCCAGCCCTTCCTCCCGGCAGAGCTGCTCCATCCCTCTGATCCTCTTGGAGCATCTCTGGACTCTTCTCCAGCAGCTCCACGTCCTCCCCGTGCTGGGACCCCCCCGAGCCGGAGTCAGCCCTCGTCAGCTGATCATCACTAATTGTTTAATTAATGAGCTGTGGGTCAATGCCAGCTGGGTTTGTGTCCCTCCTCTCTCTGAGCTCCAGGGAACAGGAACTTAATGTTAATACTTGCAAAAAGTGGCCTTTCCCTTTCCCGTGGAGCTCCCTGTGGGACCCCAGGGGAGATGGGAATGGGCATTTGTGCCTCCTCAAGCTCGATCCCGGAATGCTGAGAGATGTCCCTGCCACGTCTGGATGTTGGAGCCCTTCACCCCTCAGGGACAGACCCTGAGCCCCCAGGGAAACACCCCCAATCCCACCCCTCACAGGACCTGTCCCCTTCCACCTCCCTCTGGATCCTGTGCCCCAAACTCACACCCCTGTTCCCACCCCCAAATCCCACAGGACCACACCCCAATCCCACCCCTCACAGACCCTGTTCCCACCCAAAACCCCCATGACCAAACACCCCCAATCCACCCCTCACAGACCTGTTCCCACCCCCAAAACCCGCCGGACCAAACACCCCCAATCCCACCCCTCACAGACCCTGTTCCCAATCCCAAATCCCCCAGGACCAACACCCCCAATCCCACCCCTCACAAACCCTGTTCCCACCCCAAATCCCGCAGGACCAACACTCCCAATCCCACCCCTCACAGACCCTGTTCCCAATCCCAAATCCCGCAGGACCAACACTCCCAATCCCACCCCTCACAGACCCTGCTCCCAGTCCCAAATCCCTTCGCCCTCGGTCCTCCCCGCGGTCCTCCCGCCGCCAGGGGGCGCCTCCGGCGGAGGGCGGGGCTGGGGGCGGCCCCTCCCCGCGTGCCCGCGCGCGGCGCGCGGGGCCGTTTCCGGCTCCGCTCCCTTTGTGCGGGACAAGATGGCGGCGCGGGCCGGGTTCCAGGCGGGGCCCGCGAGCGGCGGCGGCGGCGGCGCCGCTCCGGGGGCCGCGCTGGGCCCGGGCGCGCCGGGCGGGGCGGTTCGCATGGGCCCGGCGCCGGGGCAGGGCCTGTACCGCTCGCCGCTGCCCGGAGCCGCCTACCCGGTGAGGCGGGGCGGCGCGGGGCGGGGCGCGGGGCCGGGCGCGGCGGGCGCTGACCGGGTGTGTTCTCTCCGCAGCGCCCCGGGATGTTACCGGGAGGCCGCCTGGCGCCGCAGGGCCCGGCCATGGGCCCGCCCGGCTACGGCGGGAGCCCCGCGGTGCGGCCCGCGCTGGCGCAGGCCGGGCTGGACCAGGCCCGCAAGCGGCCGGCGCCGCAGCAGCTCCAGCAGGTGCAGCCGCAGGCGGTGCCCAACCGCAACCACAAGTAAGGGACGGGGGGAAACGGGGCGTCCCGGGGTACGGGCACATCCCGGGAGCGTCCTGGGGGCGTCCTGGGGCACTGGGAACATCCCCGGGCGGCTGGGACATCCCGGGACATCCCAGGGCAGCAGGGGCATCCCGGAGCATTCTTGGAGCAGTGGGGACATCTGTGGGCACAGGGGACATCCCAGGGCATCCCGAGGCATCCCCGGGCAGCAGGGACATCCCAAGGACATCCCTGGGCAGCTGGGATATCCAGGGACATCTCAGGGCATCCCCGGGGCAGTGGGGATATCCTGTGGCAGCAGGGATGTCACAGAGCATTCTTGGGACAGCGGGGACATCTGCGGGCAGTGGGACCATCCCAGGACATCCCTGGGCATCCTGAGACCATCCTGGGGCAGTGGGGATGTCCCGAGGCTACTGGGTACGTGGCCCAGGCATGATGGGCATCCCAGGGCATCAGATGTAACCCCCTTTCCAAGGGGTGTAACCCCCTTTCCAAAGGATGTAACCCCCTTTCCAAGGGATGTAATCCCTTTTCCAAGGCCTGTAACCCCTTTCCAAAGGATGTAACCCCCTTTCCAAGGGATGTAACCCCTTTCCAAAGGATGTAACCCCTTTTCCAAGGGATGTAACCCCCTTTCCAAGTGCTCGGAGGGATGGGAAACGTTGAGGTCAGTCAGTGCTGCAGGGCTCAGGTAACTGGTCAGTCCCACTGGGGCAGGCTCAGGTAACTGGTGAGTCCCTGCTCAGTCAGTGCTGCAGGTTTGGGAATTCCCGTGGCCAGACCCATTCCCGTTTTCCCACCTGTTTGTGCCTCTTTCCCCCGGCAGCGCCAAGAAGAAGAAGATGGCAGACAAAATCCTCCCTCAGCGGGTGAGTGGGAGCCAGGGGGAGGTGAGGGGGCCTGGGGCACTTTGGGGGAGCTGGTTGATGGGAATTCCCATCCTTGCCTGGCTGCAGATCCGGGAGCTGGTGCCCGAATCCCAAGCCTACATGGACCTGTTGGCCTTCGAGAGGAAGCTGGACCAGACCATCATGAGGAAGCGCTTGGATATCCAGGAGGCTCTGAAACGCCCCATCAAGGTAGGGGAGTGCAGGGCAAATATCCAGGGGTGTGGAGGCTCCTGGAGGCTCCAGGCAGCGGGAGGGCACGGAGGGGTCGTGTCCTGGGAGTGTGGAATGTCAGGAACCTGTTGGGCACAGCCGGGGAGTGGGAGCAGCCACTCAGGAGAGGGGGGAAGTGAGGCAGCCGAAAACACCGAGCTGAGTTTTAGCAAGGCCTGAGCAGGAGGAGGGAGCCCTGGAGGCGAGAGCTGAGGCCGAGCCGACGCTTTTTCCCGGCAGCAAAAGCGGAAGCTGCGGATTTTCATCTCCAACACCTTCAACCCGGCCAAGTCGGACGCGGAGGACGGCGAGGGCACCGTGGCCTCCTGGGAGCTGCGGGTGGAAGGGAGGCTGCTGGAGGACGTAAGTGGCAAACACCCCACCTCAGAGGAGACCCTGGCTCTGGAATTGGCACTGAAAGCGAGTTTCTTAGTGTCTGAGAGCACAGCTGGGGCTTGATCTCCTCCTCCCGTCTCTGTCTTCCAAGGAGTCTGGTGGTGACGAGAGCGAGAGCCCGGCCTGGAGACCAATGGGTATCCCCATGGCGGGACAATGAGTTGTCCAAAGTTCTTAGAGCTGTGAGAATCCCTGGTGAGAGCAGCTCAGTGTCCCCAAAGCTCTGAGAACCAGGGCCCTGGCATTGTACGTACCCGCTGAGGGGTTTGGCTCCCGCCAGCTCATCTTTAACTCCAGCCTTTCCCTTTTCCTGACTCGGAAACTTTGATTTTTTTCGAGCCCACGTTGGTGGATTCAGGTGTTCAGAACTTACAGGAGCTGTCGTGCACGGTGGCTGTTGCTTGAGGGCTGAGACTTGCTGTCCTAACCCCTCTTCCTCCCTGTGTTGCTTGCAGTCTGCTCTGTCCAAATACGATGCCACCAAGCAGAAAAGAAAGTTCTCGTCCTTCTTTAAATCTCTGGTCATTGAACTTGATAAAGACCTGTATGGCCCTGACAATCACCTAGTAGAGGTGAGCTGCTTTTTGCTGTGTTGTCTCTGAACGTGGGGCGGTGTTTCTGCTGGTGGGGTTTGTGTGTAGCACTTGTGACCTGGGAGGTGGGGGATCCCCGAGGTTCCTGGGAGGCAGGAGCTCTTTGAATCCTCCCTTAAGCTTTTCCTCTCGCCTGCTGAGGGTCTGAATAAACGTTTTAACCCTCGTTTCAAGCCGTGAGTGGGAATAATTTGAGCTTTCTCCGGGCGGGTGGGATTTACTGGAGAAGCTTCTGGGTGCCCAGCAGCGGGAGCAGAGGGGGTGCAGGGGGAGGCCCCACACGTGGGGGTGTTTCTGAATTCCCTCTCCTGTCCCAGTGGCACAGGACTGCCACAACTCAGGAGACAGACGGCTTCCAGGTGAAGAGGCCGGGGGACGTGAACGTGCGCTGCACTGTCCTGCTGATGCTGGATTACCAGGTGAGGCAGGGGGAAAAAATTCCTCCCTGGGAAGCGTGGGGAGGCCCTGAGGTTGCCCAGAGAAGCTGTGGCTGCCCCTGGATCCCTGGAAGTGCCCAAGGCCGGGTTGGAGCAACCTGGTGCAGCGGGAAGGTGTCAGGGGTGGGACTGGGGGGGCTTTAAGGTCCCTTCCAAGCCAAACCATTCCACGGTCCCGTGCTGGGAGCAGCAGTGCTGGGCACCATCTCACCAGTGCCTGGCACCATCTCACCAGTGCCTGGCACCATCTCAGCCCTCCGTGCTCCTCATGCAGCCCCCCCAGTTCAAGCTGGACCCCCGCCTGGCTCGGCTGCTGGGCATCCACACGCAGACCCGGCCCGTCATCATCCAGGCCCTCTGGCAGTACATCAAGACCCACAAGCTGCAGGACCCCCACGAGCGGGAGTTCGTCATCTGTGACAAGTACCTGCAGCAGGTGAGGGGGCCCTGGAGCAGCTCCTGGCCCAGCTGCCCCGGGTGGGTGGGATGAGCAGGGGGTGGCTGCCCCGAGCCCCCCCTGAGCCCCCGTCTCTGCCCCAGATCTTCGAGTCCCAGCGCATGAAGTTCTCCGAAATCCCCCAGAGGCTCCACGCGCTGCTGATGCCCCCCGAGCCCATCATCATCAACCACGTGATCAGGTGAGGCTGCTCCACGGGAATTCCCCTTCCCAGGAAGGGCTGGATGAGGAAGGATCACAGGAGGATGGTGTGATACCTCCTGGTTGTAGCAGCAGCTCCCGTGTTAACCTGTCATCTCTTTGTCACCACACCCTCTGTTACCACATCCCTCTTTTCCAGAGGCTTTCCCACATCCATGCTGTCCTTTGCCGTGGACAGAAACCTGCCTGGAGCCATCACTCCTAGTGCTTTGCTGCTGCTGGGACTGAGGCTGACACTGGCACGGCTTGTCCCTGTCCCTGCCTGCAGTCCACGTGCTGCAGCATCCCAGAGGAGCTGCATTTGCTCCTTGAGCCACTTCCATTTGGACTGCTCCCAGATTTTTGCCTTTTTTCTTGACCTACTAACTCATTTTGGCTCCTTTCTGGAGCTGCTCCCTGATTCTGCCTTTTTGTGGATGTTCCCAGTGTTGACCCAAATGACCAGAAGAAAACAGCCTGCTATGACATTGATGTGGAGGTGGATGACACCTTGAAAACCCAGATGAATTCCTTTCTGCTCTCCACAGCCAGTCAGCAGGAAATTGCTGCTCTGGATAACAAGGTAGGAAAAGCTTCTTGGGGTCTGCTCTGCTTGGAGCTGGGCAGGGAAGTGTCTCTGGAGCAGGTGAACCCGGACAGGACAGGAGTGTTTGGAAGCTGGACTGGGGTGAGCCGTGCTTACAAACTGGTGGCTGCACCTGGGAGTGTAAATTTTAAAGCAGACGGTCCGTGGGAAAATTGGGGAATATTTAGGGCAGGAAACCGGGAACTGAGAGTCCTCTGACAGGTGTAAGTCAGCCAGAATTTGCCTTTTTGATGTTTGTGACCTTTCCCTCATCCAGCAGCTCCACTCTTGTGTTTGTGCCCTTCAGATCCACGAAACCATCGAGACCATCAACCAGCTGAAGACTCAGCGCGAGTTCATGCTGAGCTTCGCCCGGGACCCTCAGGGCTTCATCAACGACTGGCTCCAGTCCCAGTGCCGGGACTTGAAGGTAAAAAGCTTTGTCTTGTGTGGAAGGTGGATCCAGTCATACGCTCCCCTCATTACAGCGAGCTCCCGCGGAGACAGAGAGAGGCAATTTCCTGCTCGGAAAGCGAGGCTGGAATTGGAGTCGAGCACAAGAACGTGACCTGAGCGCTCTGAGAGGAAAGGGGAGGCTTTGCTCGGCACAGCCAGAGCTTTTTGCACTCCCTGAGCTGCTGTTGTGTCCCTTTGTGCTCTGCAGACAATGACTGATGTCGTGGGGAACCCCGAGGAGGAGCGGAGAGCCGAGTTCTACTTCCAGCCCTGGGCGCAGGAGGCCGTGTGCCGGTACTTCTACTCCAAGGTGGGTGTCCCCGAGCAGGGGACCCTCTCCCTGCCTGTCACTCCTCGGGGTGCCCTCTGCCAGGGGAAGGGTCCCAGTCTGAGCCCAGCCTTTGCCAGCTGGGTGCTGTGGTGTTGCCCCAGCAGCAGTTACAGACTTGGCTTCTCCTGCAGGTGCAGCAGCGACGGCAGGAACTGGAGCAGGCCCTGGGCATCCGGAACACATAGGGCTGCCCTGCTCCTGCCCACTGGAGCAGGCCCTGGGCATCAGGAACACATAGGGCTGCCCTGCTCCTGCCCAGCAGCACGGGCTGTTTGTGGAGACAGAGCTGCAGAGCTCGCTGGTCCAGCTCCCAGGATCCCACTCCAGCAGCGAGGCCCCTGTTCCTCCTCCTGGCGTTGTCCCTGCTGGGGGCAAGTCCAGGACAGCGGGGCTCTCGTGGGGTGTGACAAGCAGACAGGCTCCACCCAGCACACATTTCTACCTGGTTCTCTTCCTGACTGTTGCCTTGTCAGCCCCCAAGGCTTCCAGGAGCCTCCCCGTGACTCCGTAGTGTCCCCGGTAGCCAGAGTTGACTTGGAGCCTCCTCCCAGCCCTTCCCTCCCCTGTGGCACCCTGGAAGCCTGGCTCTGCTCTAAGGTGTGGCTGGGCTCTTCCCTGCCACGTTTTACAGCCCGTGCCAGGCGCTGTCGTGGGCAGGATGCCGTGGGCTGACATACCTCCCTGCCCTGACCCCCCTCCTCAGAGGGTGCTGCTGCACTGGGGCTGCCCCACAGGTCACTCCCCTCCTCGAGGAGGTTACTGGACTGTGTAGAGAATTGCTCCTTCCCTTCTCCCTTTTTCCCCCTGTCCGTTCCCTTCGTGTTCTGTGACGGGCTGTCCTGGGCTGGGGTCACAGGGAGAGGAGGTTTTGGCTTCCTGCAGGGCTTTGGAAGCTTGGAGTGATGCAACTCCCTGCCCTTCAGACACCTACACGTGGGTTGCCAGCAAACCACGTGGCTGCTTGTTTTCCCTGGAGCAGGGAGAGGGGATGCAGCAGCTGCCTGGAGCTGTGCATGGACACAGTGCTGTGGCCTCATTGCTCTGGGGCAGTTGTCCTGTGTCTCTTGCTGTGGGGACCAGAGGCTCCTTCGTGTGGATCCGAGGGTGGGACAGGACAGTCCTGGGGAATGGACATTTTCCCAAGCATATGTGAGTTAGCAGGTGTTTCCATGCCGAAGCTCCTGTGGTTTTTAGTCAAGTTTTAGGTCACGGGGCTGCCATAGGGCCCAGCATGGTTCAGGAATGTACAAATAGATTTACTGTGGGGAGTAGCAGCCCCGAGGCCTCTTCATGGAATGAATTACTGGTGGTCAGGCTCCTCTTCACCCCAAGCCCGGTGTTTCTGCTCGGGACTACAATGCAAATGGACTCGAGAGTTGGTCTGACTCCCCTGGGGTAGCTGCAGGATCCTCCGAGGGGGGAGCTGGGAGCGCCCAGGTGGCCCTGCTGCTCCTCGTGTCTGTGTAACTACATGTCTGTGAGTAATAGACTCTCCTCTGCCCTCCTGAAACGCTCCTCTGTGGTACCGGGGTGAAGGGCTTGGTGCTGGAGAAGCAGCCCCTGACTCCTCAGGGTACTCCCACGGGAGGGATGCCGAGTCCTGCGTAGGCGAACGTAGCTGTTGCAGAGTAACTGCTTTTCTTAACTGAATATTTACGGTTTTTTTCCATGGACCAAATCTTTTTTTTGTTTGTTTTTTTGTTTGTTTTTTTTTTTTTTGTACTGTATCCTTGTAGACGTCACCCAGTTTTAATAAAAGACTCCTGTGAAGGAAGCTGTCCTCCTCCTTCGTGCTGGGGGATGACACTCCAGTGACGGGACAGGATTATCTCCACTTTCCTCCCTTTTTTTTTTTCCTTCTCAAAGCCAGCTGGGTTAAGTGACTGGAGAGAAAATGTTCCTCATATTTTGGCCTTTTATAGCGAGCCCTCCCTAGAGGGATCTCCTGGTTTGCACACTCTGTTAAGCCTTTGCAAAAGTGCTTTTGTGCTAAACAAAGTAACTTGAGCAGAACTGGAAATCCAGTGGCCAGGGCTAATAAATCCTGAACTGCCCAGTGCCCACTCTGCTGGGCTGTGGCAGCCTCTTACAGGCCCGTGGGGACTCGGGCAGAATTTGGAGGAAACTGTATCAAAGTTTACGTGCAAGGGTTTAAAATGATGCAAAAGGGGAATTGTTCTCTTCGCCCTGGTGGTTTATAGAACTGCAAATGCCTCGCAGCAAACCTGGGAGCCCCTGGGGCAAGGAAAGGATCCTCTGTGAGGAGGAAAAAAGCTGCTGCCTCAGGCTGTGATTGAGGCAGGAGCTGAGTCCTGGGCCTGCACCAGGTGGTTCTTACTCCTTACCTGGGGGCAAAATGGCACTTTTAGGAGGACAGAACGAAATGCTTTTATGCAGAAAAGGAGGGAGAGGCTCGGCAGGCACAACTCAAAGACCTCCTCGGGGGCTGCAGCTCCTCCCGAGGGGCAGCTCCGGTCTCTGCTCCCTGTGAGCAGGGACAGGACCCAGGGAAGGGCTGGAGCTGTGTCGTGGAGGGTTAGGGGGGATCTCAGGCAAAGGTTCTTCCCCCAGAGGGTGGTTGGCACTGCCCAGGCTCCCCAGGGCAGCGGGCACGGCCCCAAGGCTGCCAGAGCTCCAGGAGGGTTCGGACAATGCCCTCAGGGACAGGGTGGGATTGTCGGGGTGGATCCTGATCCTCGCGGGTCCCTCCCTTCCAGCTCGGGATGTTCCACGATTCTGCGATTCAGCGAGTGACTCCCGGTTCTGCCGGGGATCCGACCCGCTCCGGGTCTCTGCCCTTTGCCCCCGAGCGCGGAGCCCCGGCCGTGCCCGCGGTGCCCCCGGGGCGAGGCGGGGCCGGGGGCGGACCGGGGGCCGCCCCTGCTCCGGGGCGCCCTTGAAATAGCGGGCGGCGGGTCCGGCTCCCGCAGCGCCCCGGTCCTGGCACCACCATGGGTGGCAAGAAGGTTTGCATCGTGGGCTCCGGCAACTGGTGAGCACACCGGGATCACCCCGGGTCCCCCGGGCCAGCACAGCGCGGTCCCTTGTCCCCCCCGGTGGCACCGGGTCCCAGGGTGAGCAGTGGTGCCCTGGAATCCTCGGTGCCCTGGGCTCCCCTTGTGCCCTGGGCTCCCCGGTGCCCTGAGATCCTCGGTGCCCTGGAATCCTCGGTGCCCTGTGCTCCCCCGGTGCCCTGGGCTCCCCGGTGGCACCAGGTCCCAGGGTGAGCAGCGGTGCCCTGGGCTACCCCGTGCCCTGGGCTCCCTGGTGCCCTGGGATCCCTCAGTGCCCTGGGCTCCCCGGTGGCACCAGGTCCCAGGGTGAGCAGCAGTGCCCTGGGTTCCCCAGTACCCTGGGATCCCTCTGTGCCCTGGGCTCCCTGGTGCCCTGGAATCCTCGGTGCCCTGGGCTCCCCAGTGCCCTGGGATCCCTCTGTGCCCTGGGCTCCCTGGTGCCCTGGAATCCTCTGTGCAGTGCCCTGGGATCCCTCTGTGCCCTGGGCTCCCCCGTGCCCTGGGCTCCCCCATGCCCTGGGCTCCTTGGTGCCCTGAGCTCCCCGGTGTCCTGGGCTCCCCCATGCCCTGGTCTCCCCCATGTCCTGTGCTCCCCCGTGCCCTGTGCTCTCCGGTGCCCTGGGCTCCCCCGTGCCCTGGGCTCCCCCATGCCCTGGTCTCCCCCATGTCCTGTGCTCCCCCGTGCCCTGTGCTCTCCGGTGCCCTGTGCTCCCCCGGTGCCCACGGCCCCGCTGTGCCCATGCAGGGGCTCTGCCATCGCCAAGATCGTGGGTGCCAACGCGGCGCGGCTGAGCGGCTTCGAGAGCCAGGTGAACATGTGGGTGCTGCAGGAGGAGGTGGGCGGCCGGCGCCTCACCGACATCATCAACGCCGAGCACGAGAACGTCAAGTACCTGCCCGGGCACAAACTGCCCCCCAACGTGGTGAGCGTGGGGGCTGCCAGCTCCGGGGGGCAGAGCTGATGGCTCCGGGGGGCAGAGCTGATGGCTCCGGGGGGGCAGAGCTGATGGTTCCGGGGGGCAGAGCTGATGGCTCCGGGGGGCAGAGCTGATGGGTCCGGGGGGGCAGAGCTGATGGCTCCGGGGGGCAGAGCTGATGGCTCCGAGGGGAAAGGGGATGGCTCCAAGGGGGCAGAGCGTGTAGCCTCCGAGGGGCAGAAAGAGCTTGCGTGGCCTTGGAGGGGGGAGAGCTGATGGCTCTGAGGGGAGATCTGTGGCTCCGGGGGGCAGGCTGAATTGGATTGAGGGTGCAGCTGATGGCTCCGGGGGCAAGGTGATGGGTTCCGAGGGGGCAGAGCTGATGGCCTGAGGGGGCAGAGCTTGGGGCTCGAGGGGCAGAGCTGATGGCTTGGAGGGGGCAGAGCTGATGGCTCCGAGGGGCAAGGGGATGGCTCCAAGGGGGCAGAGCTGATGGCTCTGAGGGGCAGAGCTGATGGCTCCGAGGGGCAGAGCTGATGGCTCCGGGGGGGCAGAGCTGATGGCTTGGAGGGGGCAGAGCTGATGGCTTGGAGGGGGCAGAGCTGATGGCTCCGAGGGGGCAGAGCTGATGGCTCCGGGGGGGCAGAGCTGATGGGTCCGGGGGGCAGAGCTGATGGCTCCGAGGGGGCAGAGCTGATGGCTCCGGGGGGGCAGAGCTGATGGGTCCGAGGGGGCAGAGCTGATGGCTCCGGGGGGCTGCTGGGGTGTGAGGGAGGCGATGTGTGGGGCTCGCTGACACCCTCCTGCTGACCTTGATCCGCGTTTGGATGAGCTGCAGCCCTGGCTGCTCTCGCTGCCCACCTTTGTGTCCCCCCCCTCTCTGGCGTCCGGCGGGCTGGGCTGGAGGCCATGTGGCTGCCTCCGGGCTGGCACCATCCCGCTCTGCTCCAGCCCTTCTCCAGCCCCTGCCAGCCCTGGCAGGGACCTCGGTGCAGTGACTTCGGGCCCTTCCTTCCCTTCCCGGCCCCCGTGCAGGTGGCAGAGCCGGACCTGCTCAAAGCCTGCGCGGGGGCCGACGTGCTCCTGTTCGTGGTGCCCCACCAGTTCATCGGCAGCATCTGCGACCAGCTCAAGGGCCACGTGAAGAAAGAGGCCGTGGGGATGTCGCTCATCAAGGTGGGAGCGGGAGCCAAGGCGGGGAGGAGCTGGAAGCAGCCCGGCTAGGAATTCTGGGATTTGGGGGCAGAAATGGGCTCTGGGGTGATGGGGGGATGTGGGGAGAGTGGGGGCAGAGTCTTCGTGGGGATTTGGAGGTGCTGGTGGGGAAGGGTGAGAGCACGTGGGGGATCTGTGAGGAGCAGGGCACAGCTCAGCGCGTCGGGATCACAGTGGGAGCGTTGCAGGGCAGGGAATGGCAGGATTGGGGTCGGGGGCAGGTGTCCAGGAGGGGCTCGTGTCTCCTTGAGAAGGTGGTGATCACTCAAAGGTGGGACTCGGTGATCTCAGAGGTCTTTTCCAACCTAATTGACTCGGTGGCTCTGTGACCTCTGTCCTTGGTTGTCTCCCAGGGCGTGGACGAAGGACCAGATGGGCTGAGGCTGATCTCGGACATCATCCATGAGAAACTGGGAATAGAGATGACCGTGCTCATGGGGGCCAACCTTGCCAATGAGGTGGCAGATGAGAAGTTCTGTGAAACCACCATTGGTAAGGAGCCGTTGTCCCTCCTCGTTAGCAGCCTTCGTTTGTGACGAGAGGCAAAGTGGGGGGCACGGTGCAGCTCAAACTGCTGGCTGGGCTGGCTCTTTTCCCTGGGAAGGCAGGAGATTCCCTAGGAGCTGGCTGAGCTCATTCCCAGGGTTTATGATGGGATCACTGTTTCATTAACAACAGGGTAGTGTGGCTAAAACATTCCTGCCAGCACCGTGCCTGGCACAAGTTGAAGGGGTGGACACCATGAGGCACTTGAGGAATAAGTTCCATCCTTCATTTCCTTGGGCTTCACGGGATGCTCGCCTGGATCTCACATTATTGCCCAGCCAGGGCTGCCTGGACGTTGATCTGGTGGCTGTTCCAACACCCTCCACACTGTTGGGAACCGTGCACGGAGCCAAAACCAACACAACAGCTTGCTGGGTTAGGGGCTGTGGGATTCAAAGTGTCTGTGTTTAGTGAAACAACAGCCAGCACGCTGGGCAGGAGGCCGGGGAGGTGGAACAGAGCCCACAGTCCCTGTGAACACACAGGACCCCCACAGGACACCAGGCTCCAACCCCAGATCTGCAGCCTTTGAAGATGCCTTTAACCTGCTGGGCAGGTCATTTGTGTCTTGCCTGACGAAGCTGCAGGGGTTGTCCCTGCCCTCCGGGAGTGCCAAGGCTGAGCGTTGCTTATCTGTCAGGCCGTGTGTGCCTGGCTCTTGGGGGACCTGCAAATGTTTGGCCACGTCCATCGGTTGGGCAATAGGTTCCTGTCCCTGAATGAGCTGCAGGGGAGGAGAGCACGGTCCTACCTCGGGGTTTTTCCCCATCATCTTCCTCCTCCTCCTCCCTTTGTCTCCTCAGGCTGCAAGAACACGAAGTACGGGCAGATGCTGAAGGAGCTGATGCAGACCCCCAACTTCCGAGTGTCGGTGGTGCAGGAAGCCGACACCGTGGAGATCTGTGGGGCTCTCAAGGTGGGCGTGCAGGGCTTGGCCAGCAGAGCCTGGGGGGGCCTGCAGGGCTCTGCAGGGAGCTCTGGGGAGGAGGCTGCCAGGGGAGGAGGCTGCCAGGGGAACGGACCCCACTGTGGCTGCTGAGACCTTTGAGGCAAAGGCCAGACTTTGGAGGGACCTGTCCTGTCCAGCTGCTTGGAGGGATGATGGGCACTGGCACAGGCGGGAGCTTGTGCTCAGGATCCCCACACGAGCCAAATCGTGGGCACAGCAAAGCCCTGAGCTCCGCTGGGAACAGATCCCTCCACGTTCCCGCCGTTTTCCAGAACGTGGTGGCCGTGGGAGCCGGGTTCTGCGACGGGCTGGGCTACGGCGACAACACCAAGGCCGCCGTGATCCGCCTGGGGCTGATGGAGATGATTGGCTTTGCCAAACTCTTCTGCAAGGGCCCCGTCACCCCCACCACCTTCCTGGAGAGCTGCGGGGTCGCCGACCTCATCACCACCTGCTACGGGGGCCGCAACCGCAAGGTCGCCGAGGCTTTCGCCAAGACGGGGAAGGTGAGCGGGGCTGGGAGCAGCTGGTGTTGAGGAGGTGTGTGTGTGGAGCTGTGCCAGGGCAGGGTCAGGCTGGATCCCAGGGAAAGGTTCTTCCCCCAGAGGGTGGCTGGGCGCTGAACAGGCTCCCCAGGGCAGCGGGCACGGCCCCAAGGCTGCCAGAGCTCCAGGAGGGTTCGGACAACGCCCTCAGGGACAGGGTGGGATTGTCGGGGTTGCAGGCCCAGCTCCTCACTGCTGGGTTGTTTCAGTCCATCGAGCAGCTGGAGAAGGAGATGCTGAATGGGCAGAAGCTGCAGGGCCCCCAGACGTCTGCTGAGCTGCATCGGATCCTCAAGAGCAAGAACATGGTGGAGAAGTGAGTGCTGGAATCTGCTGGGCTGGGGCTGCGACCCTTTCCTGCAGCAGCAGAGGAAACCCCCCCCTTGGTGTCTCAGCTGTTCAGGGCGATCCGTGCACTGCCCACATCATGCCAGCCGGGCAGGATTCCTGCTGGATGGGGCCCAGTGCCACTGTCCCACCTGCTCCTGCTCGTCAGGGCGGCAGTTGAGGTGCTCTGACCCTGCCAGCTGTGGTGTCTCTGTGTCCGTCTGCCCGCAGGTTCCCCCTCTTCACCGCCGTGTATCGGATCTGCTACGAGGGCAAACCTGTCACTGACTTCACCAAGTGCCTCCAGAGCCACCCTGAGCACATGTGAGGGGCTCTGCCCGCCAGGCCGCCGGCCCTGCTGAGACGCGCAGAGACTCCTGCCCACCCCAGCCCGACCTGCTGCCACAGCTTTGTGAGGAGTCCGGGTCTCCTGGGAGCCTTGGCAGGGTGCTGGAAGGGCAGAGGGTCCCTTCCCCAGCCCTGGACACTGCCAGCCTGAGCCTGGCACAGAGGTACCTGCTGACCTCCCTCTCTCTGTGAAGGGCTCGTTTAGTTTCTGCCGCTCTCTAAGGTCTGCCCCGAGCGGGACTGAGCATCTTCCTCCTTCCACTTCCTCCTGCTGTGATGGATTCAGCTCTGGGAAGGACTCTGTCGTGGTTGATACGGGCTGGGAGGACAAACAGTGCCCCAAATCCTCCCTCTTAGCCCCACGGGGCCACTTTGGGTGACACCAGCCCTTCCCTGCCTGCTGCTGCTGCTGCTGCTGCTTTTGGCCTCCCTGCCTGGTGGAGAGGGCACAGTCCCCTGCCAGGCTCCACCCGCTGAGCAAAGCTCCTCAGGACTCCCAGAGGTGCTGAGAACCTTCTTTCTAAGCAGCACCAGTGCCAGGCGATGGCATTCCTTGCCACCCTGCCATGTGCTGCTTCCCGAGCCACCCCCAGCTGCTCCTGCTGACCCAGTGCTGCTCCACAGCTCCAGAGGGACACTTTGGGGCTTGTTTGTTCAGAGCTTTTGCTCTCGCAATCCCACCTGGCCCCTGCCCCGGGGAACTCCCCTGTTGTCACAGGTTTGCCTGTGCGAATTCCACGCCCCGCTGACTTCTCTCCCTGTCCCACTTCGTCCTCTGGGGCTTGGCACTGCAGGGACCAACTGCCCCCAAGTCTCTGTGCCCCCTGCCTTGTACCTGCAGAGCCAGGGGGTGGGTACAGGGCACCTGGGTCGTGTTGCTGTTAAATAAATGACCCACAGCCACACTTTGCCCTCTCTGGCTCGCTTCAGCCTGTGCTTTTAGCCTGCTCTGTGCTCCCACGTGGGACTGGCCGGGAGCTGAGGAGCAGGTCCCACGCCTTCCCTGCCGTGGGGATGCTGCAAACTGCCCGCTGGCACAGGGGCAGGAATGGGCATGTGATCCACGACAGGTACAGGACAGGACAGAGGTCTGGGGCCTCACGCTGGGCCTGTGAAACTTGCCCCTTGTCCAGGCAGGTGCCACGTGTCCCCCTGCTCCTCTGGAGCTGGCGGTGTTTGCTCAAGGCCAGCGTGTCCAGCAGTCACTGATCCTGCCTGGGCTGGAATTCTGGAATGCTGGAGTGCTGCAGGGCTCCCCGTGCCCCCCATTCGGGCCTCTGACGGGTGTTGTGCTTTTAAACTGGCAATAAACATGGAGAGGAGAGGGGAGATGCTCTCCCTGCTCTGCGGCTCCGGTGCGTCGCTGCCGTTGGGTTGGTGCCTGCTGGACTCGCCGAGCGCTCAGAACAGGGCACTGCCCGTTCCATCCTGGCTCTGCCCCCTCCCGTGCTGTCCCAGAAACAGCCAGAATGTCCCTGCAGGTCCCTGTTTATGTCACACAGTGTCCCACTTGCTTTGTCTCAGCGGCGGTTCCAGGATTAAAGTTTGGCCGCGGGACCACGGCGGGCCGGGACTGCGGCGTTGAGCCGGGTCCGGAGTCCTCACCTGGGGCCTGCAGGAGCCGGGCCAGGACCCCACTGTGCCCCACACACCCCGGGCCTCCCCTCCTCTGATGTCCTGGCTCTGCACGCCGTGGGGTTTTATTCATCTCTTCCCAGCTGCTCTGCCCTGGGTGTCTCTGAAGGTGCCTCGTACCGAGTGACCTTTGCAGGGCTCCGAGCCCTGCGCTCGGCGTCTTGTGAGGGGAATTTAATCTGCTGGCACTGCTCTTGTTTCTGTGCCTTTTATTAGCCACGTTTTCTCACCAGGCGCTCGGCGACCTTTAAATTCAGGGAGCCGGCACGGCCTCCTCTGCCGAGGAGCTCATTTGAGCTTGGAGGGAGGATAAAGGAAGTCCAGCGTGTTCCTGCAGGGCTGGCACGACTTGTAGTTCCCTTTGTCTTCGAGTGCTTTCAGGAGTCCGAGTGTTTGGACATGAGGCTCGTGCAGGAAAGAGGATCCCCGAGCTCTGCTCCCAGAGTCCTGTCAGCACCTGCCTGGAGCTGCAGCAGGATCCAGCGGGGAGTTGGGTTTAGCTGGGAGCTCCTCGGAGGTGGAAACGCTTCGTGCACCCCCCTCGTGCGGGGTTTCTTTGGCTCTGCCGGTGCCAGAGTCCCTGCAGAGCTTTGCTCCCGAGTCTCACCTGGGGGGGACCAGCACACGGATCTCTCGCTTTCAGACACCCCACACTGGAGCTCCGGAGCTATAAAAAGTCTCTTCCCTTTGCCATTTGGAATTATGTTCTGCAGGCTCAGCACATCCCGGCGCTGCAGCCCCGGGAGCTGCTGCTGGTGCGGGAAGGACGAGGAGAGGGGGGAAAGGGTGACTGTGGCAGCCTCGGAGCTCCAGGGAGCCCTGGACGGAGCAGGGCTGGGACAGCGGAGGGCAAACGCTGGGAAGGAGCTGAGGGAATGGAGCAGCTGCCGAGGGGGCTTGGGGGAAGGAGGCTCTGGGCTGGGGGCACACCAGGGACCCTGGGCAGGCACCGGGACCCTCGGGGAGGCACTGGGATCACTGGGATGGCACTGGGATCATTGGGATGGCACTGGGATCATTGGAATGGCCCTGGGACCCTTGTGAAAGCACTGGGATCATTGGGATGGCACTGGGATCATTGGGATGGTACTGGACCCTTGTGAAGGCACTGGGACCCTTGTGAAGGCACTGGGACCCTCAGGGTGTCACTGGAGCCCTTGGGAAGGCACCAGGACACTGGGGAAGGCACTGGGACCCTCAGGGAGGCACTGGGGCCCTTGGGAGAACACTGGGATCGTTGGGATGGCACTGGGACCCTTGTGAAAGCACTGGGATCATTGGGATGGCACTGGGATCATTGGGATGGCCCTGGGACCCTTGTGAAAGCACTGGGATCATTGGGATGGCACTGGGATCACTGGGATGGTACTGGGACCCTTGTGAAAGCACTGGGATCATTGGGATGGCACTGGGATCATTGGGATGGCACTGGGACCCTTGGGAAGACACTGGGACCATCAGGATAGCACTGGGACCCTTGGGAAGGCAGCAGGGCACTGGGGAAGGCAGCAGGACCCCCAGGATGGCACCGAAGCCCTCAGGATGGCACCAGGCCCCTGGGATGGCACCAGGCCCCTCAGGATGGCACCAGGGCCCTTGCGAAGCCCCTGGGACTCTTGAGAAGGCATTGGCACCCTCATGATGGCTTCGGATGGTACCGCACCTCCAAGTCCCGGGGCTGCAGGGAGCAGAGGGGGGGGCCGGGCAGGTGCAGCGATGGCGGCCTGAGGGAGGGAGCGAGGGGTGGGGGGGGGGGAGAGCGGCTGTGGGGGCGCCGCCGCCAGGGGGCGCCGCGGGGCGCCGCGCGGACTTCCCGCGCCGCGTGACGTTCCGACACACGTGACTCCCTCCCGGGAGGGAGGGGCCGGGCACGTGACAGCGGCGGGACACGTGACACGGAGCGGGAGCGGGTGAGTCCGGAGGGACGGGACGGGATGGGGTGGGATGGGATGGGATTGGATGGGATGGGGTGCGGTGGGATAGGGAGGGACGAGACGGGAAGGGCGCTGCCGGCCCCGCTCACCGCCGCCCTCCTGGAAGCCCGTGGTGCGGTCAATGGCGTCCCCGCCGTTCAATACTTATTGATCACCGGTCTTATTGATCACCGACCTGAGGGGTTTTTTTGGGGGATGCTGCGGGACCGGGGGGGGGGGGGGAGCGGCTGACCCACGTGAGGGCTGGAGAACTGGGGCGGAGAGAAGGCTAATGAGCTGTTAGAATTCATTAGGATAACCTAATGAGGTTATTCCGGCAAGGGCAAGCGCGGGGTCCTGTACTCGCGGAGGAGCAACCCCAAGTACGAGCACTGGGAAACGACCCCAAGTACCGGCACAGGTTGGGGGGCTGACCTGCTGCTCTATGGAGGAGGACCTGGGGGTCAAGGTGACAGTGTGACCCGGGGCCAGGGAAGGCGGTGGGATCCTGGGGTGCGTCAGGAAGAGCGTTGCCAGCAGGCCAGGGAGGGGATCCTGCCCCTCTGCTCGGACCTGGCGAGGCACATCTGGAGTTCTGGGCTCCTCTGGAGAGGAAAGTCAAGGAACTACTGGGGAGGGTCCCAGTGGGGTCTGGAGCACGTCTCTGATGAGGAGACACGGAGGGAGCTGGGCTTGGTTAGTCTGGAAAGGGAGGAGTGAGAGGGGATCCCATTAGTGTGTACAAACATCTCCAGGGTGGTGTATAAACATCTCCAAGTGTCAGGATGGTGCCAGGCTCTTCTCAGTGGTGCTCAGCCACAGGACAAGGAGCAATGGCCATAAACTAAACCCCAGGAAGTTCCACCTTAACACGAGGAAGAACTTCCCGTGGAGGGTGGCAGAGCCCCGGAACAGCTGCCCGGGGAGGGCTCGGGGTCCCCCCCTCTCTGGGGACATCCCAAACCCCCCTGGACGTGTTCCAGGTGACCCTGGCTGGGCTGGGGGATCTCCAGGGGTCCCTGGCGGTCCCGTGACGGTGTGATTCCCCCCCGCAGGCACAGCCATGGTGTCGGGCAAGCAGCTGGCAGACTTTGGCTACAAGGCCTTCTCGGGCTCCATGATGCTGCTGACGCTCTACGCGGGGTACCTGTGCAGCGTCCGCGTCCAGAGGATGCTCCAGCACCGCCGGGAGCGGGAGGAGAACACGCCTGGCCCCCAGAGCTGAGCCTGGGCTGGCGCTGGCACCGGGCCTGGCAGCTGGGACCAGCCTGGCACCGGGCCTGGCAGCTGGGACCGGCCTGGCACCGGGTTTGGCAGCTGGGACCAGCCTGGCACCGGGTTTGGCAGCTGAGACCAGCCCCATGCCCAGCCTTGGGAGCTGAGCTGGGACTGGGACCAGCCCCAGGAGCTCAGTCTGGCCTGGGACTGGTCCTGCACCCAGTCTGGGACTGGGATGAGCCCCAGGAGCTGAGCTGGGACTGGGACCAGCCCCAGGAGCTCAGTCTGGCCTGGGACTGGTCCTGCACCCAGTCTGGGACTGGGACCGGCCCCAGGAGCTGAGCTGGGCCCAGTGAACTGAGCCTGGCCTGGGACTGGTCCTGCACCCAATCTGGGACTGGGACCAGCCCCTGGAGCTGAGCTGGGACAGGGACCAGCCCCAGGAGCTCAGTCTGACCCGGGACTGGTCCTGCACCCAGTCTGGGACTGGGATGAGCCCCAGGAGCTGAGCTGGGACTGGTCCTGCAGCCAATCTGGGACTGGGACCAGCCCCTGGAGCTGAGCTGGGACTGGTCCCAGTCTGCAACTGGAATCAACCCCAGGAGCTGAGCTGGGACTGGTCCTGCACCCAATCTGCAACTGGAATCAACCCCAGGAGCTGAGCCAGGACTGGGACTGACTGAGGGGGCAGCAGGAACCACCCTTTTGCCCCCCTGGGCCCAATAAAAGCCGTGTGAAAGCAGCCAGGCGTGGTCTGTGTTTGTGGTGTCCCCCAGACCACGGGATCACAGGCTGGGCTGGGCTGGGCTGGGAGGGACCTTAAATATCACCCAGTTCCAGCCCCCCTGCCATGGCCAGAGGGGCACCTTCCACTGGCCCATCACCTCTACACGTCACCCCAAGGTTCTGAAGCAACTTTTAATCGGAGATAAGAGTAAACAACAGTATAAAATGGTAACGAGTCGAGAAGTTTCCAAAATTCTGCTCCTGATTGACCATTCCATTGCCCCCAAGTACCATTGAGTAAAAAAAAAAAAGAGAGAAGCAAAAGCCCACGGTGTGGCTGCTCTTCCAGCCCCGGGTTCCTCCACAGCTGCAGCATCAGAGCAGCAACATTCACTTCTGTCTTGGGAGTGCAGGACCAAAACATCCCATTTTTTGGAGGGTTAAACCCGGCCCCACCGGTTCTGATCCTCCCTCCGATCCCAGCTCAGCCAACTGGATCCAGTAGGTCTAGAAAAAAGTCTTCAAAAACCACAATTTGCAACAGGGGAAAAAACAAACAAACAAACAAACAATTTAAAAGGCCTGGATTGTGCTGGTTGTCTCAGGGGCAAGAAACCACCCCCCCTACCTCCCCCCCCTCCCTTACAGAAGGCTTTGGTCAAGACTTCAGAGGGGTTTGCAGCACCAAAAGAGGCAGCAGACGCCGGCCTGGTCCCTGGTGACAGCAGAGATGAGCAGCTGGGACCTCCTCAGCACCCCGGGGCGAGCCAGGACAGCAGTTCTGGGGTAGCACAGTTCAAAGCTCAAGGCTGAGAAAAGAGTCTCTGCCTCCCCCAGGGCGGTTTGGACGTGGAACCTGCTCCCAAGTGGCTCCTGGAGTGCTTCTGGACCTGGAACCTGCTCCCAAGTGGCTCCTGGAGTGCTTCTGGACCGGCCCCGTCCAAACCCGCTCTTGCCTCGAGTCTGATCCCAGTGAAAAACCAACCAAACAAAGACACCTCTGCAGACATCAACAGGAACTCTTGGGGTTCAACAACTTGGGGTCGGTTTTCTTTTTTTTTCTTGTGCTTTTGAAGCACAAAGGTGGCTCGAAGTGGAACCTGCAGCTCTGTTCTCCCGCCCCGGCTTCGTCCCTCGGACCGGTCGGGGTTTTGCTGGAGGTGTCTGGGGAAGGGGGTTTGTTGGTTTGTTTTTTTTTTTTTGATTAAAGATCACTTGGGAATGTGGAGCTCAACACAACTAGATAATTGAAAGAGAAGTCCATGCTTGCTCAGGGCCAGCCCAGGGCCTTACTCCTCCCCTGTCCACTGGCCGCCGGCCACGTGGCCGTTGAGGCGGTTGGAGCCGTTGCTGGAAGTGCTGAAGACTCCTTTTGTGCTGTTGGAAGTCACATCCTCCTCCTCAGAGCTGCTCTCCACGTCACTGCGGTCGTCCTTGGACACCTGAGAGGTGGCCAGTGGGAATTGGGTGGCGGGAGAGGAGAAGGGGAGTTGGAAAATGCACAGAAAACAGCAGTTAGAAGGTTGCGTCCACATGATGGACCAGCTTCAAGTCACATCTACCTCCCACACTTGAGCCTGGAGCAGTTCAAGCTCCCAAGGAGGATCCTGTCATGGCATTAGGAACAAGACACACACTGCAAATGACAATCTGGGGAGGTGAGTTCCATTTTCCAAACACTCTCTGTGCACCTGTGAAAGCCCCTTCGCTCTCTGTGCTCTCACCAGCTCAGAGGACACCACGGATCTGGGGGTGTCCTTGTCTCCCAAGAGCTCCACTCCAGATGGGTTAAAGGCCATTTCTCTAAACAACTTGTTTTGACTCCAAACTTTCCCATGCCACAATCACCAGTGGGCACAGTGACCGAGCCCCAGCAACGTATCAGCCTGGGAGGGAACGTTTTGTCCCACGGGGAGAGGCTCTGCTGTTTTAAACATTAACCAGCTGAATTTATCACATCACTGCTTTGCACCAAGTGCCTCCCAATCCCACAGCCTGGTGGGTGCTTCATCCAGGAGATCCCCCTGAGGAGCAGGGGCCTGTTGGGAGAGCAGGATGGAGAACAAAGGCAGTGTCTGGGAACAGGAGGAGCCTCATCCCAGAGATCCAGATCTGCCAGCAGGGTTATGCCTCAGCTGCAAACCCAGCTCAGTTTGATCTGTGGGGGGGAATTGAACCTTTCCAGGAGGACTTTGGGTGCCACAGGAGGGCCCTGCTCCAGCCCTGTGGAGCCAGAAGGGAGAGGGCAGAGCCCATAAACCCGGCCCTAACTGCAAACACACACCTGGGAGGTGGCAGGTGCCAGAGGCAAAACCTCCCCCAGGGCCCTGCTCTTGCTCCTCACTCTCCTCCCTCCTGCCCCTGCAGCCCTCGTGGGCTCCACGTGCCAGCACTCTGGCTCCCAGCTTTCCAAGGATTCCAGGATTTCATTCTGAGTCAGGGGCAGGGCCCTCCAGCAGCAGGAAGTGGTTGAACTCCAGGGAAGCTCTGGCAGGAAGCCAGGTGAAGTTAATGATCTCCAGGAGCCCTGCTGGATGTTTCTGCCCCTTGCCAGAACTTTTGCTTATCTGTCCCCCAATCTCCTGCTATGTTGGAAGTTCAAAGGGTCACAGGGAGGAAGCAGAAATCCCTTGAGTTTTTTCCCCACTACTGGGGGATAAGGGACTGTTTTGCTCCTTTTCACAGGGAGGAGCAGTTTTCTCCTGTCCTCTCCCCCCCACAAGGAGCCAAGACAGAAATCAGAGTGTGTAGAACCAGAGAGTGAAGGTCATGCAGGCAGGTGACAGCAGGTAAGATCAGACCCCAGGACACTGCTCTGCCCTTTGGAAAAAACTGAATTTTGGCACTTTGTCAGGAGCAGGGAGAGAAGGAGAAGGCACCAAAGCCCCAAGACCAGAGCTCTGCTTTTGTCCTGGCCTGGACACAGCCGTGTTTGAGTGAACAAAGAGAACCACAGGTCACACTTACATGCAAAGGGTGGAACTGTCCAGCTCCAATCTGGCACAGAGAAAAGGAGAAAAGAATGAAGAAGACAGAGCTTAGAGTCCTTTCTCTGGCTAGGTCACCTGGACAGGAGAGAACCAAGGAAAGGGAAAAAGGTGTAGAACTCAGGATACAGAAACAGCTCCAGAGGCAGAAAAATCAGGCATTTGCAGCAGCAGCTGTGGGGAACAGATGGGAGAGCTCAGACTCCCCAAACCTGCCTTCCCCCACAGTCCCTGCCACAGGCAACCACGACAGAAACATTTCTGGAAGTCAACAATCCCCGTGTGGGGGCAGCTGAAGTCAAAACCACAAAATAACGTAGAGCCACGAGGGGAAACTCGGCTCAGAACACCAAAATCTGACTGGAAAAAGCATCTGTCCTCCTAAATCAGCTTCTGCTCTTTCACAGAATCACAGAATGGTTTGGGTTGGAACAGACCTGAAGGATCACACCCAGTTCCAACCCTCAGACACCTTCCACTGAGGTGCTCCAAGGCCCATCCAACCTTGGGCCCTGAACTGGATGATCTTAAAGTCCAACCCAGAGAACCATCCTGTGGTTCTCTGACAACCAGCAAACCCCCCTGCATTCCTGAGAGTCCCTTCCCTCCACGCTGGAGCTCAGTGTCTGTGCTGACAGGTGAAGGTGCCCAGCCCTCAGCACATCCCCAGCTGAAGTTGTTGGAAAACATCCCGTGTGTTCATCCTGTAGTTCAAAAAAGAGCCTGTCACCACCCTAAACTCCAAAGCACCTAACAATTCTGCCACCACCACTACTGTTAAAAAACATCTGAGCGTGCTGGAAAAGGGATTTATTTCCCTGCATGCCCAGAACACAGGAAGCCTCCTGAGCAACACCTGGGAACTGCAGAGGTAAAAAAAAAAATCACACACCAAGGGAAAAAAAAAAAATCACTCTCCTTGCAGAACTCCTGATGCAGGTCCCTCGAGAACCAGCACCAGCCCCCACCAAAGGGCCCCAATTTCTCAGGATTCCTTATCAGGGCTTGTAGGAAAGAGGACCCCCCAGGGCACCCCCAGCCTTGCCTTGCCCCTTATCAGGGTTTGTAGGACAGAGGACCCCCAAGGGCACCCCCAGCCTTACCTTGCCCCTTATCAGGGCTTGTAGGAAAGGGCACCCCCAGCCTTACCTTGCCCCTTTATCAGGGCTTGTAGGACAGAGGACCCCCCCAAGACCCCCCCCGGCCTTACCTTGCCCCTTATCAGGGCTTGTAGGACAGACCCCCCCAAGGGCACCCCCAGCCTTATTTTGCCCTTTTCAGGGCTTGTAGGACAGAGGACCCCCCAAGGGCACCCCCAGCCTTACCTTGCCCCTTTATCAGGGTTTGTAGGACAGAGGACCCCCCAAGGGCACCCCCAGCCTTACCTTGCCCCTCACCAGGGCCTTGGAGGCCGTGCGGATGATGAGGTAAGACCAGATGACGTGCAGGACCTGCAGGGTCACCAGGAGCCCGTTGAAGAGCCACCAGGAGGGGTAGGGACCGATCAGCTCCCAGCTCTCAAACAGGGTGGTGTTCAGAATCCTGGGGGGGAGAGCCAGGAACACGTTTCAGAGGGGCTGTGCTGGTCCAGGGCCATGGAGATGCCAGGCCAGATGCACAACAGTTTGTGTCTCTCACTGAGCAGCTGCTGCCTGTGCTCCTGCCAGAGCCAAGGAGACGAGGCTGAAGCTGATTAGAAACGTTTGAGCTGAGCAGCAAAAACAGAACATGTGAATGTGCTGCAGTTGGGGGGGGATCTGCTGCCAGCTTCCTTCTCCCAGAGCACGAGCATTTATTTATAACAACTTCCCGGGAAGTGATGTCAGGCTGCTCTGGACACCAAAACAACTGTTAACACCTTCCTGCCCGGGCTGTCCTCGCCCTTGGATCGATAATAACATGGGCACAGGCCCAGGGCAGGGACTGTCCCCCTGTGCTGGCACTGCTGAGGCCCCCCCAGGGCTGTGCCCAGTTCTGGGCCCTCAGGGTAAGAGAGACATTGAGGGGCTGGAGCGTGTCCAGAGCTGGGAATGGAGCTGGAGCACAGGGAGAAGGGGCTGGAGAACTCCTGAGGGAGCTGGGGAAGGGGCTGGAGCACAGGGAGAAGGGGCTGGAGAACTCCTGAGGGAGCTGGGGGGGCTCAGCCCGGAGAAAAGGAGGCTCAGGGGGGACCTCCTCGCTCTCCACAGCTCCCTGATGGGGTTGGAGCCGGCTGGGATCGGGCTCTGCTCCCAGGGAATGAGGGATGGGACGAGAGGGAACGGCCTCAAGCTGTGCCAGGGGAGGGTCAGGCTGGAGTTTAGGGGAAATTTCTTCATGGAAGGGGTTGTTGGGCCTTGGCAGGGGCTGCCCAGGGAGGTTTGGAGTCCCCCCCATCCCTGGAGGTGTCCAAGGAAGGCCTGGACGTGGCACTCAGAGCTCTGGGCTGGGGGACAAGGTGGGCATCGGGCACAGGGTGGACTCGGTGATCCTGGGGGGCTTTTCCAACCTAAATGATCCTGGGATTCTGTGATCAGAGAGGAATTCTGTTCCCAGTAGGCCTCCCTCCCTTCCCTGGGTGCTCCTCTCTTCCCTCAGAGTTTTACAGATTCCTCAAGGAATCCTCAAAGCTGCTTTATGGCCCGAGCTTTGTGTTCCTTTCCTTGCTGTTTTGCTGTTCCTGTTGCTGGGAGTTATTGCCAGTCCTTAAGTAATTTAATAAACACTTTAGATTTTATGGTGCAGGGAGGTATGGAGAGACCTTTAACGACACCATTAATTCTCACCCAGCTTTTAACATTTTCCCAGCGAAGCAAAACCAAGCCTTTTCAAACAAGAACCAAAAACGCCCCAAAAGGCACCTCCCAGAAATATTTAACTCCCAGCAGGTTTATGGAAGAATTAAATGCAATTCCAGGGATCTGCTGATGTTTCATGTGGCTAATCAGGGAAGGGAATGCACGTGAAGTGGCACAGCCTGGGGTCTGCAGGGCTGCTGCTGCTGCTGCTGCCAGATTCCTCCAGAAAGCTGAGGAATGACATTACAGCCAATGGAAAACACATTAAAGATTTACAGGATGCTGAGCACACTGGTGTGAGGGAAGAGCATCCCCTCATGACAGGCAGGAGCTGCAAAAACAACCCCAGCTCTCTCATCTGGCCCTGGAAGGAGCTTACAAAGAAATAAGAATTAAAGCTCTTCCTCGTCCAGGCTCCTCTGGTGCATTTACTGGAAAATAAGGCAGAGCTTTAACTTGCAACCCTTGGTCCTAAAGTGAAAGGATGGTTTCTGCCCACCAGGCACCCAAAAAGAATGGGAATGCCAGCTGCCCATGGCCTGGGGAATAAGTACAGGCAGTAAAATGTATTTTCACCAGGGACAGTAAACGGACAACAGCTCATTAACAGAAGCACCTCACCAAGCCTGACCTGCTGAGGTGAGAGGGAATCTCATTAGAGGATGATTCTCTCTTAAGCCATTTATCCAGGGTTTTACCTCTCCAGAAACCTCAGACCTAATTTCAGGCTCTGAGCAGTCACGACACAAGGACAAGGACAGGAGTGCCATAAAAATGAGAAACTGCAGCCATGACTGAGGGAGATCCCAGAGAGAATCACCTCAAGAGACTGAGCCTCGCTGGTGATCATTTCTCAGACCCCTTAAGAGCAGCAAAGAACCCTCCAAGCCTCTCAGGGCAGATTCTGGCTGCCTCTGCTCCAGCTAATGAGCTCTGTCATCCCTGCTCAGCAGAGGGACTGGGGTTCTGGTGCCTTCTCCCAACTCCCTCATGTTCCTACTGGAACCTCCTGCCCCCCCAAGCAGCACTTGGGGGGGCCTCTGCAGCTTCAGAGGGACAGGCTGGAATGCTTGGGAGGAGCCTGAAAACAAAAAAGGCTTGGAAGGACTGGGAGGACAAAGAGGACCTCACTCACCAGAAAGGGTAAATGCCCAACCGTGTCACGATGAACACGACCCCGAAGAGCATGAAGAAAGCATCACACACCCGCTGGTACTTGGCATAGTTGGCCAGCTTTGCAGCCTAAAAAGAGGCAAGGAACACAGGAATATTATTCCCTTTGTGCACCCCTGGAAGTGCCAGGCTGGAGAGCTTCGAAAAACTCTCAGTCACATTCGCACGGTTTGGAACAATCAGGGATTATTATAGTGTGTAATTATTATTGTTATTTATTATTATATAGGATCCTATGGGGAGAGATTATTTACAAGGGCCTGGAGTGACAGGGCAAGGGGAAATGGCTTCCCATTGACAGAGGGAAGATGGATGTTGGGAAGGAATTCCTCCCTGTGAGGGTGGTGAGACCCTGGAATGGATTTCCCAGAGAAGCTGTGGCTGCCCCATCCCTGCAAGTGTCCAGTGCCAGGTTGGACAGGGCTTGGAGCAGCCCAGCCTGGTGGAACTGGATGATCTCTGAGGTTCCTCCCCACCCAAACCCCTCCAGAATTCTGTGATCCTCAGCACTGAGGCAGCCAGGAGGAAAAGCTGGCAGGGCAGGAGCAGCAGCGCGGGTTTCAGGGCACATTTAACTCCATTTATCAGGAATGGGGGGAATGGGGGAACGTCAGCCTGTCCCCCTGGGATCACAGCAGCACTGGGGGTGCAGAGCTTTGACAGGGAACTCACCTCTAGGAGGAAATCTGAGGCATCGTGGAGACACAGCACCAGGGTCCCAACCCGCACCATGTTGTTCATGTAGGAGAAGGTGATGAGTCCAATCGTGGCCAAGTGATGGACAAACATGATCAGGAAGTCCTGGAAACAGGGAAGGGGGGGGAAAAAAACCCCAAAGATAAAGACCCTCTGGCTGTCGAAAAAAATCCACAAAGGTTTGGGGACAGAGCCACCAAAGTGGGGTCACAGGGCTGCTTCAGCCCAGGCTCTGACTGCACCTCATCACACCCCACGGAGGATTCCAGAAGGGTCTCTCAGCTCTGGTGCTCCTGCAGGTACAGGGAGCACAGGCCCTGTGCCTCTAGAACCCTCTGAAGTGACCGACAGGACACCACAAGGCCCCTGTTTTTGGCTCCCTTTGGTTTGACTCCACTCGTGCTTTCAGCCCCTGGCAGAGATTTCGGCGCTGCTGCTGCTGCCAGGGATCAAACCCTGCCAGGGGCAGAGCGGGCACAGCACACCAGATAACCCAGCAGGGAAGAAGGAGGCCTCTTCATCCCAAAAAACCATCTCCAGTGCACAATATCCAGGGCTGTTCTCCAGCTCAGCCCCCGGGTACAACCCTCCCGTGGCCCTGGGCCTCCCCCTGCTGCAGTGGGGGGACGTGAGGAGCTCGTTAAAGTCCAAATTAAACATTATAAACAGTGTCCCAGAGGCTGCTCAGCACTCCCTGTCTGCAGCTCCACCAGATCCCCCAGGGCCTCACCTGCCACTACTTCAGCACTGACAATAATCCCAGGCAAACTTGGGGGTTTTTTGGTTTTTTTGGGGGTTTTTTTGGTGGGGTTTTTTGTTTGTTTTGGGTTTTTTCTGGTTTTTGTTTTGTTTTGTTTTTGGGGTTTTTTGGGTTTTTTTTTTGTTTGTTTGTTTGTGGTTTTTTTGGTTTTTTGTTTTGTTTTTTTTTTAACAGCCAAAGCAAGAATTGGGATGATTTGCTGCTTTGCAGCTCGTGGAACAGGAGAAATAAAACCCTGTGAGTTTATTTCTCACAGGAGAAATAAAACCCCCCCGATTTACTGGGGTAAACAAGGAGCCAAACCCTGGAACAGAATTAGATCCGAGCAACTGTGGCCACTCGTCACCTGCTCCACACACAGATGAAAAATCACCCTCAAAAAAACCCATTTATTATCAGGGTTTGCCATTTGCTCAGCAGCTTTGGGGGCAGCTCCTTGAAAGCCTTCTTGGTTAAATGTATTTTTAGGTTTGTTAATTTTTGATTGGGAGGTATTGAGTGATCCTGTCCTTTCCCCCTGGAAGGTGAGGGGGACTCCAGGATCCCCCAGGCTTGTTCCTCCCTTTTTTCCCCCCCAGGCTTGGGTGGTGATTACAGGAGGATTCACACTCACAAAGGTGTGAAAAGAGGAAGAAAGAGTTATAATAATGATTTCATATTTTTTGTTAGTCCTGTTTATTGCTGTTATCATTGTTGTTATTAATTATTATTTTGGCTGTGAAGCAGTTAATTCAATTTTGGTTCATCTCACCTTCCGTTTAATGTCTGTAAACTGA